CTGCTCTTCATTGAAGAAAGAGCACACACACTAGAAAGACAAGTTAGCAGTGGCTTCGCATAGATGAAAGAAGCTGTGTCCTGAGCCAGGGAGAAGGAAAAGGGAAGAACTTGCCACCAATGTCTTGGACTGCGGACATTCTGTTTGCATGTTTGTGCTCTTTCCCATGAGGCGTTTCAGGGACTCGGCGGCAACCCTGAAGAGAACGATAAGGTAAGCTTTGAAGACGATGACAGAGAGCAGCGGATTTGCCTTACCAAAGTCATGAAGCCAGCAGCGCTTCCCATGATGCATCTCATCATGTCACCGAGACATGTTCTGAGTTTGAATCTCCTCGGGCGACCAACCCACGACCATGGGTCCGATCAGATCAGAAGAAGGGACCGTTGATGTCCCATGCGAACGCATCGACCGCTCCAGGCAAAAGACAAACCGCTGCGGTCGCGGCGAGGCGCGACGCCGACAAGAGGCGGGCTTCAGATGAGGGAAGCCCGCCTCGAAGGAGATTCGTCGGCGAATCGACTCTCCGATGTTTGCATGTTGACGTGGCCCGCAGGCCTTATCAATGGGCTTTATGATCTCTCCAGTGATCGCGAGATCACGGTAGCGAACGCCCTTTAACCATGTTGAGAAGAATCCTGATCTCTCCAGTGACCGCGGAGACACACAGAGACAATGGCGCGAAGGGTGAGCTGCCGACACTGCGAGGAGACCCACCCCCCATTGACCAAAACACAGAAAGTATGGCGGCCCAGAAAAGGACGAGCCCGGAAAAAGACGAGAACAATGTTGCTGAAATCGGCCCATTACCCCGTGGGGTGCAAGCCCAGAGGCAACGGACCCTTGACGCGGGGGCTGCTGCCGGGGCAGCCCCCGCGGGTATTGTTTGGTGTTTTGATGTTTCCTGGATCTTTTCGGTTTTTGGTTTTCAAGCTTTTTGGTTCTTTGTTGTTGAAATAGATTTGAAGGCGGGATTCCCTTCATCGCAACAGCAGTACGTTGAATTTAAGATGCCATCTGGTCTTTAATCTCCGTAATGAGAATTGATCTCAGTGCACCGATACCGATGGCCCTGCACACGAAACGGCAACGGGCCCATGACGCGAGAATTGCTATGCCAGAAAATTGGCGAAAGGGAGTTCGTCGAAATGAATCCGCAGGTTGCGTTCGTCACCACAGTTCCGGGATATCGCGAACTTGGCTCATGGGAACCAAGCCGCCTCCTCTATCGTTGCCCCTCGAGAGGCCCAAGTCGGAAACATTTCGAATTCTGGTGATTCTCGTGGTTAGCTGATGACGCCAGAAGAGGAGGAGGAGGGTGTCACAAACGCAGATTGCTTCATCACAGACCATGGACGTTCCTGGTGTAGAATCATCCAGCATGTATGTGTTTGGGCGGAAGTGAAGATGAGAAATGTATTCGACAGGTGGTACTCAGTAATGCTGTTATTGTTGTTGGCTGATTGTTCCAACCTTTGTTTGATCTCAACACTACATTGTACAACTTGCCTTTGAGTGCAGCCTGTCTCATCATTGAGAAGTTTTGAAAAAGTCTTGATGCGCGAATGCCGAGAGTTCGATACGTCGGTGCAGCTTGATCCATTGGTATAAGTCGTTGATGAGAGCGTCTGCGAAACAAAGTCAGCTATGCATTGCCTGGCGGAAGCAACGCCGTCGACAAATGAGGAGACAGATGACGGAGGCATGGAGAACGTACCAAAATAGTTTGAGTAGTCTTGAGGCATTACCTAAGGCTTTGAAATGCTACGAAGAGCCGTCAGGAGAGTCCTCGAATGAGGCGCAAGCGCTGCAGGTGATCGATCACCTCGCCTGCTGCCTATAGACGCAAGTATTCCGCTAGTTCTTGTGGGAATTGTCTAAATCATTTTTCCGCGAAGACCAGACGCTCCAGATTCGAGCTGGCAACGTACCACCTCTGCGTTTTGTCGAGAACCTGACGTTGCAGGGTGTGTAAAGTGCTGGCTTGGGCAAATGCGAGAGGGTTCGTAGGCGCTTTGAAGGTGCTCGAGTTGTTTGCTAGCGTCCATCATAGCGTCTGATGAGACGAAGCTGAGCCAGAAGCAATGTACGAGCTGGCTTCATCAAGAGGCCTGACGCTCTGCTGAGACCCATCCAACTTCTTCTTGTACTCTTGAAGGTGTCGCTCCTCGGTAATTCGAGCCTCTCAAATTTTGAAATTTGATAACATGAAGGCGTCCATTCGTCCATCCGTGTTCAAGGGCCCGCGGTATCCATAGATGCTAAAGCATGGGTGACAAGATCTCAGCCCTCAAGAGGTTAATCGAAGGCTTACTTGGAGTCCGAGAAAACAGTTGGAGCCCGACGCCTAGCCTTGATCGGGGAACTCCTCCTGAAGTCGAGCTACCTCCGCATGGAGCTCTGCATTTTTCTCATCGACTGCAACAGTCGCAGTGTAGAAAGGGCTTTTGCCTTTCCTAAATGGATAGGAAGGCCCGAGAAAATGACATGGCGGTGCCGATTTTGCCATGAGGTCTGTCTGCAGGGACTTTGAGGCAAATCCGTGCTCCGAGGGCAGAATGAGAGGCGAATGCGTTGCCCACCCAATCCAGATGCCCCGGTGGGATGGGGTCAAAAGAGCTTTCAGCCAGACCAAAGGCAATTGTTGGACCCGGACCATCCAGGTTCCCTAGATGGCCGGGTGAAGAGGACTTGCGCTCATGGCGAAGACAAGAAAGGTTTCATATCCAAGGTGATGTCAGGGTGTCTTTTGCCACGCATGAGCCGTAGACAGGTTTCGCCCTTGACGAAGACAGGAAGTATCCACGAGGCTCCCAATAGCCTCAGCCGTTTGGCTCAAGACCGACAGTCTCCCCAAATCTGGATCATCAATCTGTAGTCCCTGGTAAACAGGTGTGTTCAGTCTCTTCGACAAGTTCCTTGCACGCACTCTCGGAGGTTTCGACCCGGGGTTGTCGCTGCAGAGGTCTCGGAGGAAGGGTGAGAGGGGAGCTTGCGCTCTAGACGGCATCGTGAAATGTCCAGATACCGTTGCTTTCCACGTGGCGCGTTGTTTCTCGTGACCCCCAGTCTGGTCTAAGATTCCGAGGTCGAGTGTGCTTGATCATGCTGGCTCTGGGGTGCGTCTGGGTGACTTGGTCAGCTGGCCGTTGCGTGAAAACCTTCCGGCCTCTCGGAACTCGGGGCTGCCTTACCAAGAAATTTTCGTAAGGAGATGTCGTTGTTGAAGTTTGCAAGAACGGGCAAACAAATGCAACTGCATGTTGCCCTTCAAGCAGGCAGTGTTGGCGACGCTCACATTCAGTCCAAATCCTCGACCTGAGTACTCAAGATGTGCTCTTCCATCTCTCCCTCGACTCTCCGTTGCTATTTGACAGACAAACAAGGATAGCTGCATGTTGCCCTTCCAGAAGGAAATGTTGGCGACGTCCACATTCGAGGTGTGTTCTTCTACCTCTTGTCGCAGGTTTTGAGGAGGGACCGGACGGACAACCTGCAACTGCATTCTGCCCGCCAGTTAGTGTCTGCGCCAAGTCAGTAATGATGATTTAAGTCAACGATGAGCACGCATACCTTGCAATAATAATATGTCATGAGAGCCTGTTGGAAAAGCTACCTTTGCTGCTGCAAGTTTCGTGTTCGATATCATTGGTCCACTACGCCCATGCTCGTGGTTTCTTTTTCATCTTGATTTGGCGCTGGCATTGAAGACGTCTCTCGGTCATCTGGTCCAATGACAGGAGGGCTCGGGAAGACTCGCACCAGTTCGGATAGAAGGTCAAGACGGAGACGAGACCCCAAATGAAGAGCCTCTTGGCGACGTCCACATTCAGTCCAAGCTCTCGACCAATGCCACCGCTGAAGGACTGGTTCATGCTGACGGACGCGTAACCAGCGTATGCCGCACAAAGATGCTGGCCTGGCCTTTCCCAGCTTGAAATGCCTTCAACCGCCATCGAAAGACATGACCGTCTGCGACCAACACCCAAACAGAAAATGGACTCTCGAGCTTTTGACCAGTACTTGGATAGTCGCCAGGATGCCTAATCCAGGCAGGCTCTCCGGAGAACACTGACCGATTCTGTTCAAGTCGCTCTTCCCGTCCGACAAAGCCCACGCACAGTTGAGCACGTCCCATGATCGCGTTCACAGTAGCTCCCTCTCCGCCGCCAAAGAAATAGAACCAGTACCGCGGATCATCGCGGAACACTCAGAAGGGTTCGATGTCATTGCGTTGTCTGAAAATTCGAGGCAGTCAGAAGACAAAGGACATGCTGTCATCATCATCATCATCATGCCATCTCATATGGGAGGCAGAGGACACGACATGCAGTTCTGGTGTTGCGGGTTGGCTCACTGAGCGGAAGCAATTTGCCGCAGGCGGAGTCATCGGGATGGGCCACCGAAGCAATTAAAAAAGGGCAGTGGGCGTAATAGAAGGGGCCACTGGAGCTGATGTTTGGGAACGACCCTCCCCATGTTTGATGATTGAGAATTCGAAAGAATGGGCTTCGTGGGTTTGACCCTCGGAGATTGAACTGAATTGCAGCAATGGGGTCGCTGAGGTGCCTGGGGATGGGAGACCTCGGGATGGGAGACTGATTGTAGGCTGAGCGGATGAAGTGGCTAAGAGACGCAGTTCTTGCTCGTGTCGGTATTGGTCTTCGATTGGGCCCGAGTTGAAAGAGTTGGGATAGAAGTTTGCAATTGTTGGCTGAGTCGTTCAGTGTGAAGCAGGATGACGTTGCCGTTTGATGCTCCCACAGCGGAGGATCTGACATGGCTAGGTTGACACCCCGAAGGATCTGAGTTGAGTCGACAGAGACTTCCTACAATGGATGATTAGTGATCATGATGAGTGACGTATGGCCTTGGGGTTTGCAAACCTTGGTGTAGGGGAGGAAGCACGCTCATGAGGTGCATCTTGGGGATGGACAGCCTTGGCATGCTGTGGATGACCATGGTGCCTTGGTCATGGTGCTTGAAGTCATGCGTCAACGTCATGGGCGATGAGACACATGTGCTTGCCGCATGCAGACTCGAGAGAGCCCAAGATCCTTCTTAATTGCCAGCTGGGCTTGCAATGTAGTGGGAGCCTCAAGGAAGGATCGAGACGCGCACCGAGTCGACCTGGATTGCAAATCGGGCGGACACTGACCAGGGATGTAGTGCTGGTTGGAGGCCATGGCGAGGAAGCATAGTGATGAAGCAGTACTTTGGAAGGCATGGAGGTCGAGGACGGTTCCAATGTGCTGAAGGCATACGACCATACCCATTTGAAAGATCGGGATCCCGTCCGCTGTACCGTAGATGTGGCAAGAGCGAGGGTAACATGTGGGAGCCTGTGCCACGAGTTAGTCAATGGCAATATCTCACGATGTTTGTCACTTGAGGCCATGGTGTTGAGAGCCCTCGTCGCTGACTTTGTTCAGTTTCTGGAAAAACAGCGAAACACACTTGTCTTGGGGTCCGCGGGGAAGGCACATCCATCTTGAGGGAGCGGGAGAAGGCCCAGTCTCTAGGACGAGCGCTCGCTCAATCAGGCAGAATGAATCTGGCATCGGTCGGATCCGGGACTGGTCGATCAAACGCTCCATCAGCGGGTCAAAAGCGAGTCACCGGTGTGGTCTTGAACAATCAGCGGGGAGGCTCCTTCGCCACAAAGGCTGGATATTTGATTGAGGCTGGCTTGTGCGATTTGTTTCGTTCTCGCTTGAGCCAAGGGCGCACTCACACGCACAAAAGAAAAAAGAAAAAGAAACAGATTTGGGAGTGCAAAATTTACTGTCAAAGGGGGGATGGAGGGAAGCTCAAAGGAGGTTCACCTGTGAACTGGAACAGACAGCCTGCAAACTCCGAGATGTCCAGCACCTGCCAAATTGCCATCATAGAAACAGCACTTCCAAGATGTCCATGATCGTGACAGGCAAGAAAACGTAGGAAAAGAGAAGATGCGATACTTACTTGGTGTTGTCTTTGGTCTGTGGTGGTTGATAGTGGTGATGTGTGAAGACGGGAGAATTGGTGGCTTGGTTGGTGGAGTGTGAGAGATTGAATACGAGGGAAGAGATGAGGATGGGAGGACTTGGTTGATGGTCCTCCCTGGACTTGCTTCTGAAAAGTAAACAGAACGAGGTGAATCTTGCAGAGTCACGTGCACGCTCGTTCTGGGTAGGCAGGCGGTCTCCTGAACGGCAGGCACGATGGATGCTGGGTGAAAGAGGCTAGTACAGCGCGTTGAATACGAGAGAAGAGGTGAAGATCAACGGGGTTGTGGGCCTCTTTTGATCTGCCTCAAAACAAATCAAAAGAATCACTTCGAGTCACGTGGTGGGTTGGTCAAGGTAAGCATGTCGTTTCCTGAACGGCAGGCACGACCGAAGCTGGGTCAAAGAGAAGAAAACTCAGTCATTGTACAGCAAATCGTCACTTCAGATAACAGGTCATAGTTCATATAATTCCATTCCATGTCATCTTGGTCTGGACAACCTCGGTGGGTAGATTCCCTGGGTAGACCAAACCCCAGAAGACGGGCTGTGGAGAGAGATGCATGGACGGAACTGCTTGCCTACTCAACACACGAATGGCATTTCATGACCATCGAGATCTTGAAAGCTGCGTAGACATGAGGCGTGCCATCAAAGCCATGGAACTGAAAAAACCACGATCTGGAAAGCTCTTACCCGGGCTCGCTATATGACACTCGGGTAGCACTGAATGCACGGCAGGAACCGAAAACCATTCACCTGCTTCGTCTGGCACGGCTTTTTGAAACCAATCAATAAAAAAAAGCAAGAAATGTGACATTTGCATCCTCCTCATGAGAAACCTTGCCAGTCCCATGGAGCATTGCCATCACTCCCTTGCCAAACCTCCAATCCTCAACGCCGAGAAACACATGCGCGCTAGATGGAATATCGTCACATCCCGAGCCTCCACAGTTCAAGTACTCGGTTCAATCGCTCATTTTACCAGGGGTCTTGTCCAATGGAAGCGTTGCTTCCAGGTAAACGTACCGGAACGACGGCGTGTGCGCGAGAGTCTCGTTTCACGGGTTGCATCGAAACTCGCAGCCGTCTACGACGAATCCCTTTTCATTCTCTGAAATTTCTATCGCTTTGCACAGAGATATTGCCTCCTCGTTCGCATCGTCGTTGTCTTAGTATCCGGGCAGGAGGCGATCTGCCACGTTCTAGGGCATCGAGACGCAGCTGCTCTCGTCGCAGAACTGGTTTCCGGGCAGACCCCTGATAAACCAATGTATGTTGAGTCTACCCAGGCTGAAGCGATCTTCAATTCTGTGCAGCGATCTCCAGGACGAATGTTCGTAAGGAAACCATGGTCCCATGATGGTGGAACGACGTGGCACCGGGGGCAATGACCGGGGAAAGCCCGGCAGCTGCTTTGGCGGGCCTTGCCCCATCAGACCGCTCTTGATGAAGATCACGGACTGTACGCACGGAGAGGGAGAGGATTGATTTCTGCGCGTCAAGTGAACCTGGGTTTGCTTTTGTGATCCGATCAATAGTGCCTCTCCTTTCTTATTTGTTGACCTTTAATAAGCTTTTGTCAGACCCTGCCGACGGCTTAATACGCCGGCATCGACCCAGATGAGATCTTCCCGATCTGAGCCACAAGCCCATCATCTATAACCTGAAGTTTGACTGGGACGTCTACCGCGTGCCTCGCGATCTCGGAAACGCGAATCTTCGCATCGACTCCAGTAACGACAGGGATATTGTGATGAGGCCGTGGCGGCCGTGGTGACAAACAACAAGAAACCCTAGCGGTCTTCTGGAGTTTGGCTACAGTCACGAGCGTTGGCAAGATCTGAAGATTTGCTATAATGCACCCTTTGGCGACCTCCACAGGGAGAACTTCCACACGGGCTGGTTCAGGAAGACGGTGCTCTAGTGGCTCGACATTGTAACAAGGCTCTAGATCAAGCAGATGTGTGGGAAAGCTCTCGGCTGGAGGAAACATTGCAGAGGAGGGACATGCCCGAGACTACCGTAAACGAAAATCAATGGGGAGTTTCGCTAATTATTCTAAAGATGCACTGAGAAGCAGCTGCACTGTCAAATTCTGCGGAGCGTGGGTACAAGTTGAAGCCCCCCCCTTATAACTTCTGTGTTGAGCACTGCAAAGTTTCCATTCCTACCGCCCACTTATGCGACGACTTTGCCTAACTCAATGTCTTTCACAGAAGCGACCAACTGGTGATCTATGATTACGAGGTGCAAAATGCCTGCCAGATATAATGGCTCCAACATCGACACGACTCTATAATAAAGTTACAAGCAGCTAGGGCTAGACCGCGTCTCAAGGACGTCACGACGGCACTCAGACACATTATTCATACAGGACACGACAATCAACGCCCGCCTCATAGCCGTGTAGGAGCCGAACTTGAACCGACAAGCAGTCCGGAGTTGGCGGGAGAAGAAGGACCTCGCAGGGAAAATGTAGCATTTTCACGGACCCAGCAACGCGCTTAGACCGTCAGGGACAAAGGCGTAAACATGATGTTGCACCGACGTCAACCTCAAGAGTCCCCTTAAGCGGGCTTTAGTACCGCTCGACAACGAGGTGCAACCGGCAAAGAGAATGCGGTGCTCGAGACGCTGCCAGGGAAGATCGGGAAGCTCCAGAAGAGGTTGGACGCGGTATTTTCCTCGACTGGGACAACCCGTTTAAATGAGATAAGGATTGTGTAGTTGTGAAAGAAGCAGTTCATCATCCCCAAACCCGGATTCCTTCCAGAAAAACACCCCATCCCTACCTACGTCATCACCCATCCCAAACTTCCGCCCCCATCAGCAGCATAACCACACCCATCGACATGTCCCTCTCCTGCAGGGACCTCCCCTCCCCCTAACCACCTCCAAAGACAGGGCTGTCAAAGACCAAGAACAAGAACCAGATCCGTCGTCTGGTGTGTGTGGCCCCCTCAATGCCATCAACCGCCCCGCTGCCCTTCCAGGATTTCTACCGTTGAAAAAAAAAAAGCGGACAACTTCCGTCGCCTCCCGCCCCACCCCGGCCCCGAGCGCCGCACCGTCCATCTCGGCCGTCGCGTTTCACCACGGCACGGCCAAAAAGCGGGGCCTTCTCAAATGGAAAAATCTCTTCACTCGTTGTTCACGTCTCCCTAAGCAGACCGAACATCTTCTCCCTTTGATCCAAATTTAGTTTCTGTAAGAAAGCCAAATGTGCTCCATTCCGCCAAGACGCCATCATCCTGGGTTCCCCTTCCATCCCCCACGGGGTCATGCTGTGCGGATGCGGAATGGAAGGGCTTGGCGATGATGCGCGTCTCCATTTGGGGATTAGGGGATGGACCTTGCTATTTTCTGCTAGACTCCTTGCATCGTGTATTATGTCGCTCCGATGTGATGGGATGAAAAGTGTCATGCTCATTGACGTCTGTAGCGGATAAAACTCGGAATTATATTGAATTCAAAAGAGTTTGGGAATGGCTTCAGTTGATGGAAAAACATTTAGCAGGTAATATCAAAAGTTGGATATGTCCGCTCAGCTAGCAGTAGAAAGTAACAACGAGGATATCACCAGAAAAATTAGGCCAAGCATTGCTTCATGAAGTGAATTAAGCACTGGGGTATCATTTTATATACAGAACCGCCCTCCTCTCTTGCTTTTTGACGTCCTCTTTTTTTTTGTGGAAAACCATAGCATAATGCGCCCAAGCCCGCGAGCGCCTCCCTGCGTAACAATTCTTTGTGATCATTAGACCTCGCATGGTTCTTTTGTTGCTGTTGTCCATGAAAGTCGTGTGTAGCTTTGTCCCGCAGTCCAATTGACCTGCTCCAGAGGTTTTTGCTTAATATATGCTCAGTCGAATCTCGGCCTGGCTCAAAGACATTTCGGCCGTTTGAGTGCCAGGCTCCGAAATCGTTCTGAGCGTATTTTCTGATGAATGAAAAAGGTGGTTGCGAGGCTCCTAGTTCTGGACCTCCTCGGACGGGGGACCGGCGTAGTTCTTGCGGCCCCAGGCGAAGTACCAGATACCGGAGATGAGGCAAGCGGCGACGAAGACGGCAGGGGCGTAGTTGATGGTGGTAGGAGTGACGGGGACGAAGGTGGGCATGCAGAACAGAGGCATGGCGAGGAGAGACCAGGCTGAGAGTTTGTTAGCAATGCGTTCAACAGCAGATATTGGGACCAAACTCACCAAGAGCAACAACGTTGGCAAAGGCACCGAAAGCGCCAAGGTTGAAGTCCGCGCCGACCAAGTGGGTGCGGCCGCCGAACAGGCTGATGGCAATGGGGACGGCGTAGGAGGCGGTCAAGCAGATGACACCAACACCAGAGAAGGCGTTGAAGGCAGCGCTGGAACCGAAGTAGATGACACCGAGGATGATCTGGACAGCCATCGAGAGCATCATGGCGTTCAGGGGAACGTCGAGCTTGTGGTTGACCTCCTTCCACCAGCGGGAGCCGGGAATGGCACCGTCACGAGCAAAGGCCCAGGTGCAGCGGGAAGCGGCGGTGGTGCAGCCGATACCGCAGAGGACGGCGAGAACCATGAGGGGGAACAGGAGACCGAAAGCACCGCCAGAGTTGCCGATGGCCTCCTTGATGATGGTGGGGACGGGCTGGCCGGAAGCGAGGTTGATGAGCATGGTGATGTCGGGGAGGACGAAGACAAGGGGGATCAGGAAGAGGAGACCGGCAAGAGTGTTGAGGCAGACGGTGAAGACGAGAGCCTTAGGGACCTGCTTCGAGGGGTTCTTGACCTCTTCGCACATGCTTCAAAATGGTTAGCTGCGCAAGACTACGTATTGCGATTTCAAAGGCGCAACTCACGAGATGACCATGCCCGTGGACGAGGTGGCGTATCCGGCGTGCAGAAGGCCGACCATGAAAGACCAGCCCTCGGGCCAGCCAGAGTTGGCCTCGAAGTGGGTGAAGACGTATTTGGCATCATGGCGGCCGTTCTTGGCAATGACGAGGACGGAGATGATAATGGCGAAGACACCGGCGAAGGTCCAGAAAATGGCAGCGGTCTAGAATTTTCACAACGTTTAGTACACCATTCACAAATCACAGGAGATACGAGCAAATTTTTTCCTTACATCAAGGATAGGCAGCCAGCGGTTGCCGAGCGAGGAGACGGCGTTGCAAAGCAGAGTCAGACCCAGGAAAATGAGGAAAACCTGGTACGGCTCGCCAGCAAGGACACCGACACCGGGCTCCGATTCAAACACGTTGATGCACGCGACGAAGAAGAGCGCAGTTCCGAAGTTCACAGCGAGAGTGATGGTAATGTTTCCAACGACGTAGAGCCAGCCGCAAACCCAAGAGGCTGCGCGGCGCCATCTGGGAGAAGCGAGCATGAAGGCCTGGTAGTAGACACCTGCAGAGAAAGTGGTCAGCAACCGTGGAGACCGGGACGGGAACGGGCGCGCCGGCAAGCCACGCAAAAAATATCGGGGACTCGGCCGGGCGCCACGCGGGCGGAACGGAGCAAGCACAAAACAAAGAGTCGGTAAGTACCTCCGGCAGTAGGATAAACACTGGTGATTTCACCGAGCGACGCAGCGACACAGATGATGATCAGAGACACGCCGAGCCAACCCCAAATGATGTTGACGGGGCCACCGCCAGCAAGGGGGTAAAGCATCGTGGTAGCCAGACCGTAGGGAATGGATGCGAGAACGAAGGACATGAAGGCGACCTGGAGAGTCGAGCGGTTGCGCTCGAGCTCGGGCTTGTAACCCAGAGACTCGAGCATGTTGTCGGCAGCGCCATCGTCGGAGCGGGAGGGACGGGCAGTGAAGCCGTCCTTGACATCGCCCTTGGCAAAGCCGAGGTCGTGCTCACGAGCACCAGGGTCCTGGGAAACAAACTGCGACATGTTGATCGATTGGTCGAAGAGCCCTGAAGTTGACTTGACAATTATCGAATGGCAAGCCAGGAGGGCTCAGGGGCCGGTAGGAGGAAGGAAGAGAGAGAGAGAGGAAGGTTAAAGGAAGATGTGCCTGTGATTCAAAAAGACATGCGGCAGGTGGCGGTAGGACCCAAAAGCCTGAGAAGGGATGAATCTTAATTTGGGGGGAAGTGATCGACCAGATGGTGGTTTGGCTTGAGGTGTTCCAAGACCGAGGGAACGGGAGGATGAAGAGTTTAAAAGGATGGAAGAAAAGAAAAGAGGCAAAAAACAGGCAAGGGTCTGTCGAAGAGACAAGACAGAGACACGCAGACAGGCTGAGAGGCCCGGCAGGGAAGGACTCGATTGAGTTGAGGCAGTCCTCTCTCACTGCACACCTCCAAGCTCCATTCGAGTCGACTGGAGTGCCGTGCAGTCCCAAGTCCCTCTCCTAACTGGGCTATCAGTTGGCTGTCTGTGTCGCGTTCGCCGGGACCAAAAAATGACGTCCATCTCATTGGATGTGGCCGCGGCGTTGCGGGACCCCCTCAAAGTGTACATTCGAGTGTACACACGTCCGTATGTAGACCCCCCATGCCCATGCCCATGCTCTTTGCCCCCCCTCGTCCGCGGGCCTTACCCCTGTCGTCTGTAGTCTGTCCAGGTCGTCTCCAGCGCCTGTCTTGCCTTGTCGCTATCTCTCCAGTCGTCCCCTGCGAGTCCCCGTGTGGCCGCCGTGGCCAGGCTGCGTTGCCTGTCGGCTCTTCTTTTTGTCGGTCGCTACTTTCGTGCGGTGCTTGTGTTTCGACGGGAATTTTTAGTGTAGGTTCCCTCAACTTCATTCTGTTTATCTCGGGCTCTCGTCTGACTCGGGGTCCCCGGTGGATTCGACTGGTGCCACAGCAATCTTGCTGCCCACACACTCAAGACTTGCCGAGCAGCCAGCGAGTGGGATTGAGAGACAGAGTGGGAGTGGCTCTCGCTCGCTTACGCGCAACGTCAAGCGGCACAGCAATTGTGAGCCCAGCAGCAGGACGACTTCCGACGTCGAGTGCATTTACTGTGTATGTATCATTATTCCGGTGGACTCGTGCCCATCCGCACACACATTCTGGGCGAGCTGAACGAGACAGGGCTTCAGCGCCGAGAAAAGAACGACTAGCCGGAGAATGGCAGGCAGGCATGTGGCCTCTCGGTATCGAAACATGAAGCAGCATCGCAATTGAACAGCCGTATCTGGTGTGGCGCCAAGAGCAGGCCTAATCGACCGGGCCTGTAGGAGCGCGTGTACGTCCAGACGGTGTCGGCTGTGAGCCTGGTTGCGGTAATTTGTCCCGCGCTATCGACGGCAGGCGTAAAGCATATTGAGCCCATCTGTCGACAGAAACACGGCATGTCGGTGTTACTTGCCTCTATCTCTGGCCTGCGCTGGACGGTGTGCTGCGCGGCCTTGCATCCGCCTGCCTGGCCTTGTCGTGCAGCTGACGGATAGCCGATTGGACTGCAAGCCGTTCGGACCTTGGTTTGCGCGGGTGTGTCGCACGACTTGGATCAGGCCGGGGGAACAGACGCGGAAGAGTCTTCACCATCCATGACACTGAGACTTTGGCGTTCCTCGTCCAGATTCCGCGCCAGTGGCCAATGACCACGGAGAGTACTCCGTCCGCCATTCCGCGCCTCTTTGACAACTGTCAGGCCTTTTTGTGCCGCTAATCGATGTACCTTAGAACATTGGGCAAGGAGGAGGGAACGGCAGCGCCTCACGGGATTCTTCGTGTATTCTTCGTGGCTTCTCTTGCATGTAAATGGCCCGCCCTGGTGGATTGAGTTTTTTGGGGGCGTTTGTCTGTACTTCCGACGGTTGGACAAGTCACAGGACTCAATTGGCAATCCTTTGCGCCTTCTCAGTCGTCGCGTGGTTTCTTTCCCCTCAAAACATCTCCCCATAACATCCCCTCTTCCGCCGGCGCCGAGATGGACGAGCCCGAGCCGTGAAGCCGCGAGGCGTTGGACGAGGCTCCAGAGCTCCACGGACTTGCGCCTTGCGCTCCACGTTTGTTGAGGGGAAGACGCAGGCTTGGCAGAGGGCGGGAGGCGGACACTGGTCTCGAAAAAAACTCGAAAAAAAATCGTCGACATCTGAGACCGCAAAAAAAGGTCTCCAATTTCTCCATCTGTCCTCATCCTCGACCACACTCAATGCGCACAATGCGGCCTGCCCCCGTTATGACGTAGATAGTGGTCCAGGTTGCCCGACTAACGCAGCAGGCACTCCACGCCATGCAGCCGTTGGTTCGTCAAACACGAGTCGTGGAGCCTCTCAATCTTCCGGCTTGCCGTTTTGAAGTTGACGGCGGTGGAGAGCGTCTGGAGGACGACACGGTTGGCGGTCGCAGCGCCGGCGAGTGAGCGTTCGAAGAAGAGAGAAACGGGGCGCGCTTGAATGGAGAGGGAATGGAGAGAAATGGAGGAGGATGGAGGAGACTGGAGCAGGATGGAGACATGCCGCCAGGGCTCCCCCGTTTGCTCCCCAGCTTGAACGAGGATATTCAAGGATGTTCCAGGGCTGTACAGTACTCCAGGGAAAAAACTAGCCTGTCGGTTCTGATACAACCCTGGCGTATCCCTGAATGGGACTTCGAAGAGCGTTTTTCACGCTTAGAAAAATGAATTTCAACGCTACAAATACGTTTTAAATTTCATTCTATAGAGAATTAGTATATCTCTATTTTTATAAATTTTTCCGTTTTGAAAAACGTTGAGATTTCAGGGAAATACAGGGTTTTTAAAGATCACATATTTGTATACGAAACTCTTATGGAAGTACTTACCGGGAAAAAATACCCCCGGTAGACTGTATCTCTGCACGAGCAGGGGAGCGGCGCACACCACCCTGACACGACCAAGCCCGCTAGGATCGTGAGGCCTGCAAGCTCCCGTTCGGAGGTGGTTCTGAGTGGTTCTTCACAGACGCTGATGTCAGAGAGGATACTCAGTGATGGGCCGCCCACCTGCCGCAGGGGGCGTAGTGCCGCGTCGAGTCGTACGTAAGAGTATCTTTTCGGCGGCTTAACGCGGAAGAGATACTTGTCGGTGACAAACGTCGGTGGCTGCCTCGCTGGCCACTCATGTTGGCCGTTGGCAGGTGGGCAGAAGAGTCGATACCTGGAAGGGAAAACGAGACGAGATGGCAGTCAAAAACCGTCGCCGGACGCCGCACACCGTCGAGCAGCGGCTGCGCCAAACCCGGCTCTTTGGTGGAGGAAGAGGCCGGGGGACGGCACCCGATCGCAGCGCACGCGACAGGCACAGGACAAGCACACTGTCACTGTCCCGCCCACCTGGGTCGTCGGGGAGCCTCACCGATGGCGCCATTGCACCCTGAGACCCTGAGACCCTGTGGCAGGCTGAACAGGAGGGGCGGACTTCACGATACGTATCTACGTATCGAATCTGGGGAAAGGCTGAGATGGTGGGAGGCAAGCGGTGATAGCCTTGCATTGGTGTATCGGTCTTGGTGTTGTTCGATGGAATGATGAGGAAATGGTTGAGCAGTTGATATCGTGATGGAAAGCGGGTGTGGCGTCGAGCTGAGAGCCCGGGGTCGAGTGGAGACGGGCCTGTGTTCACCGAGCTGACCGAGAACAGGCTGGCGATGGAGTCGAGGTGTTGTTGATTTTGGCAACAATGTTGAACGTGGTCTAGAACGCCACGGGCTGGCATTGTTTGTTTGTGACAACGCAAGGGATGCTGCAGAAACAACGTGCGAGGGTCGGTTTGACAGGTGAAAGTTTAAAGAGCCGGGTAATCGGTAGGGTTAGGTAGCAGGTAATAAGGCTCAACCCAACCTATCCAACCGCTGCTCGTGCTGCTGAATGCATGTCGACGCCCGCAGCCAGCGTCCAAGGATGCGGCCCTTCCCTTCGCTTCCGCCACGTCAAACGCCTTAGCGTGCTCGGTCGAGATGAGGCTAGCCATGGATTGAGCCGCGTCTGTAGCCTGACGACAGTCGACATGGCCGTCGACATGGCCATACGACTGCAAGGTGGAAGTGATCTGCGTGTAAATTCTCCGGTACGATGCAGCGCAGTGCAGTGCAGCGTCTCTCGACAGGCGAAGGAAGCAAGGTACAAGGGGCAGAAGAGCATGCACCCCGCTGCGGTTCCTCGAGTTAAGTTGAGGCGCCAAGAATGGGACAGCTGTGGACGAGAGGTCGGGATGCAACGTGGTGATGGAGATGCAGAAGAGAAGAAGCAGGAAGAGTGGCTCTCGTGCTGTCTCTTTCTCTCTCTTGGAGCGGTGAAAGGGAAAAGAGGCAAGGGCAAGGGCGGTGCAAGGTCATGGTCATGGTCATGGTCATTGGAGAAACCCGTGAGGCAGGAGTTGTGAGGCAGGAGCAGTGAACAGGGTCGCTCTTTCCTCGATCTAATCTGAAATGCAGCAGCAGCCAATGAGTTTGGGCAAGCGCCTCGCATGCCACTGCCTTCCTTCCTTCTCTGGCAAACGACGACTCTTGACTGGCCAAAGGGGGCAGGCTTCGCCATCATCGCTCCTTCCGCCTTCGCACTTTCGCACCTTCGCACTTTCCGCAAGCCTCATTTTCCGAGGCTGGCTGTCTTCGGTCTTTCAACAATGACGCCCTTGCTGCATCGAATGCGAGGCTACTTAAGCAGCAGTGTCTTCCCGGCTTTCTTCTCTAGTTCTCCCCGCACTCTGTCTTTTGCGTGGATATTTCGAGATCGACAAAACCTGGGGAAGGGAAACACCGATGCTGGCACCTCCGCATACGACATGGACTCCAACTACGAGATACATGGAACCGAGAACGAGACACACGCCCGCAATATCGAACCAGCCGGCCCTGCACGACATCGCTGTCGATTGATCGAGATACGCCTCCTCCAAGACGAAATACACCAGCCGTGCTGCTATTGGAACCAGGATCGATTTCTGCAAGGCGTTTCGGACGATGAGCTAGGAACGAACGG